GGGGGGGATCTAAGAACTGCTGCAACACCTTGCCTACCACTTACTTACTCTAAATGTTTAGAAGTACAAAATGGAGCTGATCTTTTCCAGCTATGCTGCGTTGCCATTACCTAGCATGTGAAGGAAGACACCACCCACAGTGCATTTGTTTAACTATGGTTGAAGACTACCGTACATAAGTGACTTTTTTTATTGATCAACCTGTTAATAAGTAACTTATGACTTGCTTCAAAACTGTTTTACAATGAAATCCGTACTGAGAAATCCTTATTTAAGAAAAATATAATTTTTTAAGAATGCATTTAATAAACTTTTGTCATTCACACTTTATTTAAATGTTGCCAGAAGTCTCTGTAGATTTTATTTGAGTATGGTACACGATGTTTGGTTTTTGAACCCATGGTGCCATTCAGTCCTCTGAGCACTCAGCGAGTAGCCCACCCCCACTCAATACTTGAGGAAATTACCAGCTGATCTATCAGCAACAGGCCTCAGTTTTGTAATACTTCGCTGTTTTGGTACCGCATGTGGAAGTAGCATGAGCAAACACTGAGTTCTGCTCCTGAGAGTTCAAACAGGCACCTGTAACACCAGCCCCAGTCTGGACATTTAAAATGGTAGAAAAATCAACTGGTGCCTGCTGGAGGTTCTTCACTGGCAAGGTGGCCATGCACATATGCACACAGGTAGCTCCACCTGGGAATGTGTCTTCAGCCTTGCTACTGCCTGATCCTGCGCACAGGGAGCAGCAAGCCTTGCTTTCGCTGGCATATTTTCCTCTAGTATTTACATAATTAAAACAATGACTCAGCTAGAAGTGAAAGTTTTATTTAATAAATATAGTTTTCATAAACCGTTTTTTAAAACAACTTCTACTGCCCAAGCTGTACAATAAGCAAGCACACTGACGCGCTCTCAAAGAATCAAAAATAACATGAGGCAGCCACAGTGTCAGAGGTCCAAAATTCTTTGTACTAATTATTGCTACAGTTTCCAGTTGTCAATGCCCCTTATTTGCCTAAAATTAATCAACCTCTTCTTTAAAAAGGTACTTCTTACAGAGATGATATAATTCATGTTGTTTTCTTAAAAAAAAAAAAAAAAAAAAAAAGCAGAACTTGATCACACTTCAGTGAAGAAACAGGAGTCTAGATGATTTGTTATTTTTGTATGCATAGGACCTGAAATCTCTCACGTAACTGTAACTGGGAATTGCAAAAATATATTCTTTGCTGCAATAGTGAGGTAACTTATTTGTAACTGAAAGTGAGGATCATTTTTAACCATTTTCCCCCTTTTCCAAACTATATGCCCCATGGATTATCTTTTGTCCCACTGCCAAAATGCAAAGAGGTTGAGAACCTACTGATGTATGAAATAATTTCCTTTAAAACTGCTGAGGAAAAATTAATATATACCACAGGCCATTCGTCAGGATTTCTTTCAGACAAGTCACACTTTGTGTCATGAAAAGCAGCATGTTTCATTTCTTTCCCCTTCATGTTACATACAGAGTCTTTAGCTTTTATTCATGTCTATGCATATATACAAACTGGAAACAACAAAAAAAGTATCTACAGTGATGACAATTGTATGTACTTATTGTAATACAACATCATGGCCTGGCAACAGCTAGAGGAAGGCAAATACTTCAACGTGATGAGAACATTCCTTTGAATAAAAGCCACAGAAGCTTGGGCAACACACAAGGTCTCTTGCTGAGTTATTTCTGATGCTTCTACAAGCAGTATTTGGCTGAAGGAAAAAAAGTTATGGAAAGCGGAAGCCTTGCAAATACCAACGCGAATGTGCTTCTAAGACAACTGACGGCAAGAGCTGATACAGCCATGAGCATCCAATCTTCCCTCCTCCTGTTATAAATTGAGTCATTCCCATAGAGAGCAGAAACCAGACAAATCATGCCACTGGAAGCAAACAACAGAAGCAAAGAACATACAAAACAACCAACAATGAAAACATTCACAGGAAAACACCCCCAGATCTACAAAGGAGAAAGTCTAACGGGGAAATAATTTTGGAACAGAAAAAAGGCTAAAATTAGTCCACAATGAACGGTTCGCCCAGCACTAGGAATAACTCCTTTAGAACAGCGATGTCTGCGCAACAAGGCAGTGACGAGGGTGAGAGTCACTAGGTATTGTACACCAAGACAAAGAGAATCTCAAAATAAATGGTTCAGAAGCACATTATGCTTGAGCACTTTTGAACACTGAATTTCACCAAAATCACTAATATTCAGAAGTACAGAAGTATCAGATAAAACTATTAAAAATAACATAGGCTACAGCTTTGAGACATTTCTAACACTAGAAAATAAGATTTTTTTCCCCAATATAGAAGTTATACTGTCATAAAAAAACACGTTTGAAAGTATTACCAAAGGTTTCCAGTAAGAAATTATAGTTGCCTAATACGCATTCTAAATTGCATAATCTTTTCTCAAATCATCCTTTGCACTAGAAAACAGGAAATCATCCTGAATATGTAAAGCCAAAGTTTTCAGCATTCCTTCGTTTGCATTTTTTTGTTCCCCCTCCCCCTCATAAACTCAAGAAATTTACAGAATATTTTAAGCAGAATATTTACATTTTAGTTTGTGAAACAATTCAGAGCATCTTCCCACTTAATCTTTTCCCCCACACCCT